GTGTCTGAGTCCCAAAGGTCAGGCCAAGTATAAAACTGGGATGTTCTTAGATAGATAACAGACTGTCCTGTTTATTGGGCCTGGTTACTGACTACTGGTTGACGTCGTAAGTGTTTGAGCTCACCGATGTTCCTCCATTCCATCTGACTTTGCACAGACACCAACATGAACGTGGCAGAGCATCCGGCTGACACATCCAACCTGAGGGCGGGGTCTCCCACCACCTCGCAGGGCCGGGGCTCCCGCTGCTCTCAGGTAATCTTCTGATAAGCCCAGGGGGTGTCACTTCTGATTGCTGTTGCACCAGAACCATGGAACAGAGCTGCAAGCCTTAACCAGAACATTACAGCAAAGTCAAAGTCAAGTCAAAGATATTTTATTGTCACATGATATGTGCAAGACATACAGGAGAAGCGAAATGCCGGTGTGCGTACCGTCCAGTTACAAACATTATAGACATACTATACAAAACGACAGATGACAAGGCCAGAGACAAATCGACAAGTGCAGATGGTACAAAGTGCAAATGGTAAAAATACATATATGGTCAGTTGTACAAATGGAAAGAGTAGAAGAGGCGATTGTGCAAATGGTAATAATATTAAGGTAGTTGTGCAAATGGTAAACATAGATAAAGTAATGTAGGGATGCCAAAGGTGAACAATACAGTGCAAATGGTAGCAATCATGCAAGTCAAATACAGCGGAAAGGTATGAGTGTAAACAATACTTGAGGTAGTCAGTGAATAAATAAATTAAATTACTGTCCAGGGGCAGGAGGCAGAGTGGGGAGGTAATGGACAGGGTTCAGCCTCCTGACAGCCTGGTGGATAAAGCTGTTTAAGAGTCTTGTGGAGCCCGGAGGGTCCGGTACCTTCTCCCTGAAGGCAGGAGGCTGAAGTGGGAGTGTAAGGGGTGGGAGGAGTCTCCAGCAATGCTGATGGCCCTGCGGGTGAGGAGGGTATGGAAAGTGTCCCTGAGGGGGGGCAGGGAGGGGGGGCAGGGAGGTGCCGATGATCTTGCTGGCTGTGTTCACTACCCGTTGCAGAGCCTTACAGCAGGAGGCAGAGCAGCTTCCAAACCACACAGCGATACAGCCAGTGATGATACTCTCAATAGTGCCTCTGTGAAAAGAGAGCATGTTGGGGACTGGAACGTTCGCCCCCCTCAGTTTGCGGAGGAAGTAGAGACGTGTTTGTGTCTTCCTGGTCAGTGATGTGGTGTTATTGGTCCAGGAGAGACCCTCAGAGATATGCACCCCCAGAAATTTGGTTGTTGTCACCCTCTCAACGGCAACGCCGTCATTGGTCAGTGAGGCATGCTGAGGAGGTCTTCTCCTGAAATCTATAACCATTTCTTTGGTCTTCCTCACATTGAGGAAGAGATTATTCGCCTTACACCATTGGACCAGCAGGGCTAGACATAAGGATTTAGGAGGGCACAGCCACTTTGGCTTTGGCTATTCATATTTTTTCTAGGGCA